AGAAAAAAAGAAAACTGTAAGCAAAAGACTGAAAAGATCCTTGTGCTGCCTCAACCCCTGAAAGCCTGTCCTACTCTGGACAGTGCTTCTGAAAGAGCACACCTTGTTCATGGAGATGAAAGTCGCATGAAAAAAACACAAACAGCAACACGTTCTTAGCCCTATTGTTTTTCCCCAGAAAATCTACCTGGACGCTCCATGGCCACAGGCATGTAAGAAGAGGGCTCTCTGAAGGAACCTAAATCCCCACAGAGAAGATGCTGAGCTAACATTAGGGCTCTTTGGGCAAACTGACAGCACTGCCCTTTCTGTCTTGCAAACTTTGCAATTTATTTTGAAGGCTGTCAGTGGAGCACAGGATCCATTCTATTCCTTCCCACAAAACCTTTTTGCCAATGTGGCCAGCTGCTCGGGGCTCTGAGAGGCTCCACAGAGAGTGCATCGTTCAAGGCCTCCATTCTCATGGGAACTGCCTTCAGCTGCACAGTATGCCTCTTCATCTACCCCAATGACACAGTCCAGGGCAGAGCTCTGAGTCCAGAGAAACTGGAAACCTAGTTCCTCCTTTTTACCATGTCACCAACTTAACTTGTAAGCTCAGGACTTAGCCCTTACTATACTTGGACCTCAGGTTCAGTCTGTAACATGGAAATTATACACTGAGTGGCCAGATTATTATGACTAACTGACGTTTGTAGGCAAATTAGCTATAATTTCACGCTGAAGTTGCTAGAGGGCCAGACCATCATAAATAGGGAAGCAGGTCGTTTACCATGACAGTAGAAGTGATTTTTTTTCCTGAAGATATGTGTAAACAACTCGATTTAATAGACTTTGAACGTGGAATATATTTGACTGTGAGTGGCCAGATTATTATGACCACTCCATCAGTACTTCGTCGGGCCACCTTTTGCCTTCAATACTGCAGTGATTCTTCTTGGCATTGACTCCACAAGATGTTGAAAGGTGATGCGAGGAATCTGACACCATGCCTGATGAGTAGCACTGTCCAGTTCTGTGCGATTTGATGGTTGTGGAACCAACTGCCTGATGGCTCTTTTAATTTCATCCCAAAAATGCTCAATTGGATTGAGATCTGGTGATTGTGGGCCACCTAAGCAAGGTAAAGTCTCCATCATGTTCTTGAAATTACTCCTGCAGAATACAAGCACTGTGGCATGTTGCATTGTCTTGTTGG